GTGGCGACGAGGGCCTCCCAGGAGGCCCGAAAGGGGAAAACGAGGGAAGGGTAGCAGTATGGGTACCCTTTCCCTCCTCCGAATAATGCCGGCAGCCACCCGCGGAGCTCACAAGCAGAGGACGGCGCCGAGGCGCTCCGCCTTGAGGCGGCGCGGGGGGAGCCCGGCGCGACGGCGGCCCAGAGGCCTCAGGCCTCGGCCTGGACCACGGCGGCGGCCTCACCAGGACGGGGAGCGAGAGCAGGCGGCGGTGGGTGGGGTGGGGGAGGGGGAAGAGAGGGAACGGGGGAGGAGGGAGAAGGGGGCAGGGACGAGCTAATTAGGCTCTCTCGCGTCATATCAGACGTCCCACCCCTCCCTCCCATCCCTTACCATGGCGTAGATCTCCCCTCGATTCGCACAGTCGGATGTCGCAGCATGGCACAGCATTACATGGCATAGCATGGTGTTGAAGATCAACGCCTGGCATAACACAGCATGGCGTGGCGACGCCCCAAAGTGGGGGGAGCTTCCGCGCAGGGGGCAGGGAGAGAGAGAGAGAGAGAGAGGAGCGAGGGGAATGAGCCTGGGCCGGGGAGGATGAAGACTCAGGGCTTGCATACATACAGACATGCATACAGACATAGAAAAGCACTACACAGATACAGTAGGATACATCTATATATATATATATATATATATATGTATGTATGCGTATATAAGGCCACGATGTTCAGCCCGCCAAGGCACAAGGGCTCACACTTCAGCACAAGACATGGCGCCCAACGACGCGTGCTGGTGTGAAGCTGCTCCTGCTGTCGAGGCGGCTTCCACCGCCGCCCCTCTCGCCTGGAGGCCCTCAGCGTGCTCTCCCGTCTCTGCCAGGGCCCCAGTGGTCTGGAGCTCCGATGGTCCCCGCGGTGGCCTCCACGAGTGAAGGGGCCCTGGGACACACAAAAATAAGTACACGCAGATGAAATGATTCCTCGTATGTTCCCATGTTTTCGGGGTTTTGTCTTCCCCCCCGCTTCCCTTATGTTCCCATATTCTCCAGGGGATCGACGATTAATTATGTCTGTGTTTTTTTCCCTCCTGAATGAGGGGACTGCGTGACGGCGCGGTCGCTCTGCCTCCAGATCGGCAGCTGGCCAGGATCGGTTCGAGTGACCAGCAGGCCGATGTAGATCATCAGTCAGATAGGTAGATGCAGATGTGGACCTTGATGCTGCTCCTCATGTAGATCATCCTCCGGATATCGCTCTGCTCCGCGCCGACGTAGCCGCTGACCGAAACACCGAGTGTTCGAGATGTCCGCGCCTGCAGCCACAAGGAAGGACGTGAGCCTGCCGTGGATGCGCGAGCAAGCACGCTGTCGAGCAGGCCCTTCAACAAGCGCTGTCGCTAAGCGGCCGGCGGCCGCCAGGTCCTGGAACCCCTTCGCCTCGATCTCGCATAAGAACTCCGCAGTGTCTGATTTCGAACCTCGCGGGAAGCGAGGGGGGCCCGTGGGAGGAGGCCCGATCCAGCGGCACTGCCTGTTCATCATACCTGTGGTGCCTTGAGGCGGCGCGCCTTGCGGCCAGAGTTGCCTTGCGAGCCGCCTTTTCGGTGGAGACGCCCAAAGAAGATGCTGGAGCCATGAGAGCACCTCGGTGACCCCACGTGCTGTATCTTCTGGTCCGCGAACGCAGTCTCGATTGCCACCCGCAACGTGTCCGAGCTCCAGCAGCGTAAGGTGTCCAGCATAGTAGCCAAGGAGCCAGCGGCAGACCTCCAGCTTTGTCAAGGCGCTCCGTGAGGAAGTCCATTGAGGTGGCCATGTCTTTATGGAACGAATGAACGAGATGAACAAACGAACGACCACCAATGCGGACAGCAGACCGGGCCTACTCGGGACCAGGTGCGTGAGGCCGTGGCCTCCAAAATACTGTGGTGTATAGTGAGGCATGCGTGCGAGACATAGCTAAGAAGCTGTGTGAAGCGGAAGGGGGGAGGAGGCGGGGGGAGGAGGGCATCCCGGGCTGGTGCCTCGCAGCCTGCCTGAGAAAAAGGAGGGCATCCGTGAAGGCCAGATCTTCATGGAAGGCGCCCGTGGCCGCGCCGCGAGCACGGATGTTCGTCAGTGCTCCGATGTGGCTCTGGGCCAGGTCTTACGCGGTCCGGCCATGGTCGCGTGCGCGGGAGATGAGAGGAGGCGGGTGGCAACGAGAAGGGGGGACCAGCTCAGGGGGGGAACATCGACCTGGAATCGGCGATACATCGCCGATAGATCGGCGATAGGCCCCCGATAGCGAATCCGCACGGCGATGGATGGGCGATTGCGGGTGGATGCATCCCCCCTGAGCCTACCCCCCTATCTTTGCCCCTAAGTAGTGGGGGCTGCCGAAGCTCTAGCCTTGAGCCAGGCTGCCGCACTCTGCAGAGCTAATCGCTGTGCCTCGCTGCCACACAGCCTCGCTGCGGCTGACCTGGAGCCAACATGGCCATAGAAGGAGGGATGGTGGGATGATGGGATGATGAGGATACGGTCAGGGACTGTTGGATAGCGTGTCGCGGCGGCGGCCCTGGCGAAACGCTATGACTTGCGAGTGGATAGCGTGTCGCTCCGCTCCACTCCCTGGCGCGGGAGGCTCGGAAAAGCTCGGGACGTAGACGCTCAGAGACCAGGAAGTGGATAGCGTGTCGCGCCGAAGTGCGGTGGGCCAGAACCAGCGGAGCGACACGCTAACCCAAAGTTCCCGATCGAAAGAAGGATGAAGAGGACAGCGGAGGGAGGAGGAAAGAGGCGGGGAAGATGAGTTCGAGGAGGGGAAGGAGGAGGGAGAAGGAGGCGCGGAGAGGAGAGAGGTCGAGGAGGAGGGGCAAGGAGGAGCAGCAGCTGGACCAGGAGGCGGAGCGTCCCCCAGGCCTCGCCCTGAGCCGGGGCAGCCTCGACCTGGGCCTCGGCCGCCTCGGCCATCTCCACGCTCTGCCTCCTGACCCGCTCGAACTGGCGTGCCTGGTCCTGCCTCTCCTGGGACCGCGGCGGTCTCCCGCCACTCCGAGGGCAGGGGGGGGCGAGGGCAGGGGGGGGCCGGGAGAGCAGCCAGCCCGACCGACAGTGCCTGGGCCCACAAACATAGCCGAGACGTTGCCCGGGGGGGGGCGGAGGAGGAGGTGGAGGTGGTGGTAGAAGTGGAGGAGGAGGAGGAGGTGGAGGAGGAGGGGGAGGATGAGGAGGAGGAAGAGGAGGACGAGGAGGGGGAGGAGGACGAGGTGCACGTGGGCTGCTCTTGTGCCCAACCAAGGTCGGCCTGGCTGCGCTGTGCAAATGTGGCCCCCATGTCCCTCCGTGGCGGGACCACCGCGCTCCTGCAGCTGGGCGGCCTGCAGCTCGGCGAACTCGATCTGCTTCTGCCTGTCGGCCTGCCGCTTCAACTTGACCTGTCGGCGACTTGCCTACCAGACCACCCCAACTCGACCCGAAGGCCCGAATCCCACCAGCCCTCTGGGCGTAGGTGGTTTAAGGAGTTTCCTATTCCACCCCTCCTTCTTCCCCTTCGGGGAGGGGTTCATCACTGTTCCCTATTAATATACACCCCCTCCCCCAGGCGACTGGGAGCCAACCAGGGTCAATGCGGGCACGCACCCCCCCCACACACCATCCTTTTTTAAAACAAAAAATCTGCCTCAAGTTCGGAGCATGCGCACCGAACCCGATGCGGCCTCCCCCCACCATGCCTGTCAAAAAACCGTATAGAGTAAGTACACTTGGCGGCGGCGGCGGCTGCGGTGGGGGCAACGGCTGCGGCGACTGCGGCGGTGGCGGCGGCGGCGGTGGCGGCGGCGGCGGTGGCGGCGGCGGCGGCGGCGGCGATTCGGCGGCAGGCGACGGCGGCGGCGGGCGACGGCGGCGGCGGGGGCGGCGGCGGGCGGCGGCGGCGGCGGCGGACGGCGGCGGCGGACGGCGGCGGCGGGCGGCGCGGCGGCGGCGGCGGCGGACAGCGGCGGCGGCGGCAGCGGCTGCGGCGGCGGCGGCGGCGGGCGGCGGCGGCGGCGGGCGGCGGGCGGCGGCGGCGGCGGCGGATTCGCCCCCAGTAGCTGCCCATCCAAAGACGACTGCTGAATATTCTGCGGCTCGGGCCAGGCTCGGGCGCTACGTATGTGTTGGGAGGGCGGGTGGGAGTGAGCGAGACGGCTTGCGGGCGGGGAGGGAGTCGTAACCCTTCCCCCTACCCCCTCCCCTGGACCTGGACAAGGGGTTCCGCGAGGTGTCGGAGCGTCCAAAACGGCCTCGGCGAGGAAGCCAAAATCATTGGTTTTACTATGGTTTGGGCCCCATGGTAGCCTCTTGGGGGGGGGGGCGCTAATTGAAGCTCCCCTCTTGTTTGATCGATCTCCTCCGAGATGGCCCCAAGAAGCGCCCAGGAGGCCCCAAGAGGTCCCAAGATGGCCCCAAGATGGCCCCGAGAGGCCCCCAAGAGGCCCCCAGGAGGCCCCAAAAATGATCCCAAGCGGCCCCAAGAGGCCCCCCCGAGGCACCCAACACGCCGAAGAGCTCCCAACGACCGCCAAGAGACCCCCAAGACGTCCCAAGACGTCCCAAGACGCCCAAGAGATACCCCAAGAGACCCCCAAGACGTCCCAAGAGAAGCAAGAGATACCCCAAGAGGCTCCGAGAAGCATCCAAGAGACCTCTGGCCTTTTTGCTTGCTCTCCTCCTCCTCCCCCTCCTTCCTCCTCCTATCCCTTCTCAGCCTCCTCCTCCCCCTCCGCCTCCTCCTCCTCCTCCTCCTCCTCCTCCTCCTCCGCCTCCTCCTCCTCCTGTTCATCATCCTTCCCCCTACTCCCTCATCCATCCACCCAATTTTCTCCTTCGCCTTCTCTCCTTCACACGGTCCGGCCGTCCCCCTCTTTGCTCCCGCGCTTCCCTGATCACCTCTCACCTCGCCTGGACATCGTTTCTGGATGGGCTGGTGGGATTACGCGAAGCATCTAAAATTTCGGGATCGGGGGGGTACGGGCTTGATATATGTGTGTTTCAATGTTCCACGATCTCCCCCCACAGGGAATGGAGGCCCAATTGGAGCCTTCGGGTTGGGGTGGGGTGGCTTGGTGGGCGGTGAGACAGGGCACCGAGGTGCAAGCGCGGGGCCCCTCGCTAGGACTCAACGGTCACAGCCCTGCTGCGTTGCTCAGCTATGCTTGTGCGCGCGGGAGTGCATGCTCGACGACGGCGACCGTTATTGGTGACGAGAGAGAGAAAGCGCGAGATTTCGTCGAAACTAGCGTGGTCCTCCAAAGAACTGACCACGGCATCCCCAATATGGCGGAGTCCAGCCAGCATTTCCGCTGGCGCCGATGTGTCCTCTGGCGCTTAGCCCACAAGGAGGAAGATCAGACATCCATCTCGACGCGACGTCAGTCACCCCTCAGGCCTCAAGTACTTCAGCCGCGGAGAGGACCCCCTCAGCCCCGCCCCTTACCCCCGCGGCGCGGTAGCGGATATGTGTGCCAGCGCAACTGGATCAACCACGGTGGGCTCCCGGGGCGAAGAGGCAAGGAACACGCCACCACCAGGCCCCCACCATCCCGTTTTGGGCCCAGTTCTTGGTGGGTAAAGCCTTCTGGCAGGATGCGGAGCAGGCAATCTGAACTGGGCCCATGGACGCCTGGTGGTGGAGGATCTGGCTTGCTTCCCTCTCCCGGCGAGGTGCTTCCCGCCAGCCAGGGGATCAGCTCACTGCAGGCCCTGGAAGCTCTCCCGAGACGCTGGCCCCGACGTGATGTTCCAGCCGCGCCCAGCAGTGGTGGCGAGGGAACCCCTCTCGGGGGTCAGAACATCAACGAAGGTAACGCGCGCACAGATATACACCCTTCCTGTCCTCGGGGGAGATGCAGAAGGGAAACCAGAGCAGACCCGAGATGCATCAACGGCGCTGCAACACGCCCTCGGTCCTAAGTCCCCTCCCCCATGAGTTCCTCGAAGCCTTCCACTTCAACACCAGAAAAGCGCCGCCTTGAAAGACGAGCAGCCCGTGGGCCTGCCAATCTTGGCGAGAGCTGCGGGCCCCCACGATATACACCACCACCACCTCCATCTCTCCTCCCTCGCCCAACCTCAGCTTCCTCTCCTCTATCCTGGGGGAGGAAGGGGATGCGTAGGGAGCCCACAAAGGACGTACGCGCCCAACTATGTACATGAGCACGGCCCCTCGATCCGTGAGACTGGCCGCGTTACACGAACCTCTGCGCAATGTGAACTCTCGAAACCAGCGTGGATTCATGTACATGTACGCCCTTTTTCCGCTCCTGAACGAGGGAGGTGGTGGTGGTGTATGCCTTTGGGCCCCGTGAGAGCCCCGTTTTGACAAGCAGCTGCCCTGCATCCCTCCGGCGAGAGCTCTACGGGATGCGGCACGGTAGGCTCAGAAGGCTCTGCGCGGTGTCCAGCGAGAGCCCCCGCTTGACAAGCAGCCGCCCTCCTCCCCCCAAGTCGTGCACCAGGTGAACACGTCCACCCCCTCCTCCTCCTCCTCCTCCTCCTCCTCCTCCTCCTCCTCCGCCTCCTCCTCCTCCTCCTCCTCCTCCTCCTCCTCCTCCTCCTCCGCCTCCTCCTCCTCCTCCTCCTCCCCCTCCTCACTTCTGGTCACTCGCCTTGAGAGGGGTCTCTCTGGCGGGAGCCCCCTTTTTTCGAAAAGGAGCCGCCCTCCATCCGTGCAGCTGCTACGTCTGCTCTGGCCTCCAGCCGTCAAAGTTGAGGACGCCTGGGGCGAGAGCTCCATTCTTGAAAAGAAGCCGCCACCAATCCCTGTACGTGGCGCAAGCGCTTGGTACCAATATTTGCGGCGCTAGGGGGGGGGAACACCTGTTCTGGAAAGGATCCGCCCTTTTACCCGTGCAGCTGCTGATCAACCTCACCTTCTTCGTTCATATTTAAAGAAGTTCTAGGCGGGAACCACTTTGAAAAGGTACAGGCCTCCATCCACGTAACTGTTACAACGTTCGAAACATATTGCAGCGGCGTCGCCTGGCGGCTGCAAACTTTCATTCAAAACGAACCCCGGCTCCAGGCCGCCAAAGATCAAATCCTTCGATCCGGCGTGTAAATTTCTGAGAGCGTGGGCTTGAGCTCGCTCAAGCTTTGCTCTGCCAGGGGGGGACCTCATCCGACCTCATCCGACGCATTCACATTCAGTGCTCGGATCCCCCTCGACGTCCCCCCCCCTGGTGCTGCATGCCCCCCCCCCCCCCCGCAGCACCCCCCCCCCAGTGTGCCCGCACCTGTGCTCGGCACCCCCTCCCCGATGCCCCCCCGATGCCGGCACCCTCCTCCCCCGGTGCTGACAACCCCCCCCCGTCCCTCGGTTCCAACACTTCCCCACCCCGTGCCAGCACCCGCCCCCCGGTGTCGGCACCCGCCCCCCGGTGCTCGCACCTCCTCCTCCCGGTGCCGGCACCCCCCCCCCCCGGTGCCGGCCCCCCCCCTCCGGTACCGGCGTGCCAGCACTACCCCCCGGTGCCCCTCCCCCCTGCTGTGCCACCGCCACCCCCACCACCCCGCACCCCCCCCCCGATGCCCGCACCTGTGCTCGGCACCCCCTTCCCAATGTTTGCACCCCCCCTGTCCCTCGCATCCGACACTTCCCCCCCCCGTGCCGGCCCCCGCCCCCCAGTTTCGGCACCCGCCCCCGATGCTCGCACCTCCTCCTCCCGGTGCCGGCACCCCCCCTGGTGCCGGCACCCCAATGCTGGCGTGCCAGCAGCTCCCCCCCTCCCGCCCTGCCGGCCCTGCGGGCGCTATACCGCCCGAGGAGCAGAAGGCGCAGGAGCACGAGGAAGAGGAGGAGGAGGAGGAGGAGGAGGATGAGGAGGCGGAGGATGAGGAGAAGGAGGAGGAAGAGGAAGAGGAGGAGAGGGAGCGGCACAAGGAGGATAAGCAGGACGGCCAGGAGGAGGAGGAGGAGGAGGAGGAGGAGGAGGAGGACGAGGAGAAGGACGATGAGGAGGGGGATGCATGGGTAGTCGTTTATCAGGGGGTTGCAGGGGGAGGTGCTGGTGGAGGAGGAAACCCAACGGCGCGATAGGAAGATCGAGGGCCTGGAGGATGAGAAGGAGGAGGAGGCCGAAGAGGAGAGCGAGGAGGAGGAGGAGGAGGAGGAGGAGGAGGAGGAGGAGGAGGAGGACGCATTGCCCGCGCGCGGTTCTCCGCCGGGACATTGCAGCGGGGAGTCCCCCTTCCACGCTGCTGCCTCTGATTTTTATCTTCACTGTCGCGGCGAAGAGCGACGACGACGACGACGCCGACGACGACGACGACGACGACGCGTCGCCTGCTCGCGCCGGCGGTTGGTCTCCCAGCCGGTGCCCGACTGCGCGTGCTTCCACACGCTCCTGCGCGGGGCGCAGAGGCCCCACGGCGGCGGCGGCCCCCCCCCCAGCCGAAGCGGAGGAGGTGCTGGCGGCAGGGGGGGGGTGCGGGCAAGATTCATATCCATATCCAGTGCGCCTTCGATTTTTTTGGAAGGGGCGCCACAAGGCCGAGGTGCACTGGACATGGATAGAAATCGAGCCTCTAGGGGGCAAATGTATCCATATCCAGTGCGCCTCAGGTTTCTGGGGAAGGGAGCCCGAAGCTCCATACTGCAGTGGATATGGACAGAAAGACTGCTCGCAGGGGGGGGATGGGGATCGCCCAGCAGGGGCGCTACGATAGCCGCGCTTCGCGCCCCCCCCCAACCAGAGTTTGAGGGGAGGTGATGGTGGCAGGAAAACAAAAAAAAAAAACGGCTGAATTCCCTGGCTCCGCGCTGGGCCCCCCCTCCCTGGCGCGCGGAGCGCGCCAGGGGCGGCGCCGGAGGCGCCGCCGGGAGGGGGGCGCGCGCATCCAAGAAACCCGCGCGGAGCTCCAAAAGTTGATGCTTATGCCGTTTTTGTTTTTCTTCTTCGAGAGGGGGGATCGCCCATCAGGGGCGCGACGGTCGTCGCGCCTCGCGCCTCGAGGCCAGGGCCAGCGAGGTGGCCTCCCCCGAGGGGGCGGCCCGCAGAGGAACGTGCGGAGGCAGGCGGTCGCCTCGCGCAGCGGCGCAGCGCGAGGCACCGGTGGCCTGTGCAGAGCGACCCCTTCTGAGCTGAGGGGGGGGGAGGGGAATCCACCCCGGCCACGAGGCGGAGGAGGCTATGGAGTGGAGTTGGGGTTGGAGTTGTTCCCTCCTCCTCCTCCTCCTCTTCCTCCTCTTCCTCCTCTTCTTCTTATTCTTCTTCTTAGTATCATTATTTGTACGTGTCTCCTTCGTGCTTTTCTTCTTCTTCTTCTTCTTCTTCCTCCTCCTTTGAAGTCAATGCCTCGCTGCGGCCTTGGTGCTTTCGGTGCCGACGGGAAGAAGAAGAAGAAGAAGGCTCTGGAGGAGGAGGGGCGACGCTCGGCCGGGCGGACGAAGCTTGGGTCACAGCGGGGCGAGCAGCGGCAGAGGGGCGGGCCTGCTGCCGACGTCGTGCTGCAGTGTGGCGCCCGGCTGCGTTGGACGCTCGAAAGGGGTACGGAAAGAATGGGTACAATTGAAGGGGCCCACAAACACACAAATAAATACACACAAATAAAAAGATCCCCCATATTTTCCAATATTTTCTGGGTTTTTTGTCGTCCCCCCCAATTCCCATATTTTCCCTTATTTTCTTTGGAATCGACGATTAATTGTGTCTGTGTTTTTTCCCCTCCTGAACAATGCCCAACAGAAAATGTTGTCCCAAACCAACAGCGGCCGCTGTTGGGCAGGCGGCCTTCTGCCTCGAATGGACACAGGCCGCGGCGGCGCGGACAGCGAGTCCTGTTCAAAATGAACAGGATCTGCTGTTGGGCATCGTACCCATTCTTTCCGTACCCATTTCGGGCGTCCAGAGCTGCGCATGTCCCTTCCCTTTCGCTGCCACAGGGCCCATGGAAGACGGTGCACATGGCGGCAGAAGCGAGGACGACTGCCAGGAGCTCCTCAGGGGCCTACACACAAAACACACCTGGCTGAATCGCACAAGCTCTAACCCTTAGCTGGCTCCAGGGAGTGAGGGGACGACGGGGAGAGAAGGTGTAGGTCAGGCCTTCGAGAACCGGGCAGCGTAGATCGTGGGCCTAGTGTGGGGGACTGGGGCGCGGAGCGCCCTGAGTGCGCCGCTAGGGGGAGCGCCGAAGGCTCATGTGCTGAGGTCGGGCGTTGCTTTTTGGGGGGGGCGATCATGGGGGAAAGAGAGAGAGAGAGAGAAGAAAAAAAACAAAAAACAAAAAACAAAAAAAAGTGCGCCGTGTCGTGCCCCTCCTGGGCCCCAGAGGGCCCCTTGAGGGAACGAAGGGCGCACTTTCTTCACCTCCCCACGTCATCGCCCCCCCACTGCGCAACGCCCGACGAGGCCAGCCAGGACCACCTCCTGGGGGGCCCGCCCACGCGCGGCACCGCGGGGCGGCGGCGGGGGCCAACGAACCCGCGGCGTCCTGCTGAAGGCCTGCTCGGGCGAGAGCTGCTGGCGCTTGGGAGTGCCCACCGGGCCCGCCGGCCGCTGCAGGTCCGCCATCGACTGGCTGCAGCCCTGGTAGAACTCGAAAGTCATGAGCTTCCTCTCGAGCCTGGGAGCGGTCCGTGTTGGGGCCCTCCCACCCGGCCCGCCCTCCACCCCCTTCCCTTCCGCTCCTCTCCTCCCCTCCCCTCCCCGCCCATCCTCATACCCTCTCTCCTTCTGCTCTGTTGCGCACTCCGCGCCGGGCCGCTGGCACTCAGCGGAGTGGCCTGGGCTCCCTCCGAGTTCTCTGCACCTCATGAGGTCCAGACGTTTGATGCAAAGACGAAAGGCCCAGAACCACAGGCGTTCCGAGCGACTTCCGCTGAGGCCTCAAGAAGCATCTGACCCACAACCCAAGCACGGTGGCGGGATGGGCCGAAAGCCACTAGATCCGCCGCCCCCTGCTTGCAGGGGTGCACGGCGTGCTGGATGTTTCAGGTTTTGGTTTTGGTTCTTTTTCCAAAAGAACTCCCCAGTGGGCTCCGGCAGAACCCGCCGGCCACCCGGAAGGCCCCCAAACGTGCTCAACGACCGGAAAAAATCCTCCAAAAAACGGCCGTTTCGCTCGGGACATCCTCAAAAAATCGCGAAGATGGCCCAAGATGGCCTCCAAGTCCGCCCGAGATGGTCCAAGACGGCCTCCAAAACGGCCCAAGAGAGTCCAAGACGGCCCAAGACGGCCCAAGAGGCCCCCCAGAGGCCTCCCAGACGGCCCAAGAGGCCTCCAAGAGGTCCTCCAGGAGAGTCCGAAGAGGCCAAAATCATTGATTTTCCTTGGTTTTTGAAGGATTTTGGCATTTGCGCCTTTTCGGCTCTCCGACGGCTCAAGACGGCCCAAGAAGCCCCCAAGATCGCCCAAGAGGCCCCCAAGAGAGCCCCATGATGGCCCAAGTGGCCTCCAAGATGGCCCCTAGAGGGCCCCAAGAGGGCCCAAGAGGCCTCCAACACGCCCAAGATGGCCTCCCAGACGCCCAAGATGGCCTCCAAGACGGCCCTGGAGCATTCCAAGCGGGCCCCAAGTCGGCCCATAGAGGCCCCCCAAACGGCTTCCGACGGCTTCAGACGTGCCAGGAACCCACCAAGATGGCCGAAGTTGGCTCGAAGCTGGCCCGAGACGGCCCAAAAAGCCCCAAAGATCGCCCAAAGCTTGCCCAAGAGGCCTCCAAGACGGCCAAGATGACCTTCAAGATGCCCACGTGTTCCCCGAAGGCTTTCCAAACCGATTCGGGGAACACGTGGTCCGATAGCTTGGCAGGTCTGGCCTCAACGTTCGGCCACATAGGCGCTTCCAAAAAGGCAGGGGGCGGCGGTGATTCGCCGTAGGCGTCTTCGATCCGCCGCCCCCTGCTTGCAGGGGTGCACGGCGTGCTGGATGATTCAGGTTTTGGTTTTGGTTCTTTTTCTAAAAGAACTCCCCAGTGGGCTTCGGCCCGTCCCGCCGGCCACCCGCGCATTTCCCAAAATCCATCTGTCAATGCCCAAAAACGGCCGTTTCGCTCGGGACATCCTCAAAAAATCGCGAAGATGGCCCAAGATGGCCTCCAAGTCCGCCCGAGATGGTCCAAGACGGCCTCCAAAACGGCCCAAGAGAGTCCAAGACGGCCCAAGACGGCCCAAGAGGCCCCCCAGAGGCCTCCCAGACGGCCCAAGAGGCCTCCAAGAGGTCCTCCAGGAGAGTCCGAAGAGGCCAAAATCATTGATTTTCCCTTGGTTTTTGAAGGATTTTGGCATTTGCGCCTTTTCGGCTCTCCGACGGCTCAAGACGGCCCAAGAAGCCCCCAAGATCGCCCAAGAGGCCCCCAAGAGAGCCCCATGATGGCCCAAGTGGCCTCCAAGATGGCCCCTAGAGGGCCCCAGAGGGCCCAAGAGGCCTCCAACACGCCCAAGATGGCCTCCAAGACGCCCAAGATGGCCTCCAAGACGGCCCTGGAGCATTCCAAGCGGGCCCCAAGTCGGCCCATAGAGGCCCCCCAAACGGCTTCCGACGGCTTCAGACGTGCCAGGAACCCACCAAGATGGCCGAAGTTGGCTCGAAGCTGGCCCGAGACGGCCCAAAAAGCCCCAAAGATCGCCCAAAGCTTGCCCAAGAGGCCTCCAAGACGGCCAAGATGACCTTCAAGATGCCCACGTGTTCCCCGAAGGCTTTCCAAACCGATTCGGGGAACACGTGGTCCGATAGCTTGGCAGGTCTGGCCTCAACGTTCGGCCACATAGGCGCTTCCAAAAAGGCAGGGGGCGGCGGTGATTCGCCGTAGGCGTCTTCGATCCGCCGCCCCCTGTGGTCTTGCCACAGGGGTGCACGGCGTGCTGGACGTTTCAGGTTTGGTTTTGGTTCTTTTTCTAAAAGAACTCCCCAGTGGGCTTCGGCCCGTCCCGCCGGCCACCCGTAAGTTTCCGAAAATCCATCTGTCAATGCCTTTGTTGCCCCAACTTGGCCCCAAGATGGCCTCCAAGACGGCCAAGATGGCCCAAGATGGCCTCCAAGATGCCTCCCAAGACGGCGAAGATGGCCTCCAAGACGGGTAAGATGGCTCCAAGATGCCTCCAAGACGGCCCAAGATGCCCTCCAAGACGGCCAAGATGGCCCCAAGATGCCTCCAAGATGGCCCAAGAGGCCTCCAAGACGTTCTCCAGGAGAGCCCGAAGAGGCCAAAATCATTGGTTTTCCTTAGGTTTTTGAAGGTTTTTTGCGTTTTCTTCTTTTCGGCCTTCCGACGGCCCAAGAGGCCCCCAAGATCGCCCAAGAGGCCTCCAAGAAGGCCCTATGACGGCCCAAGGGCCCCCCAAGACGGCCCCAAGAGCGCCCCAAGACGGCCCAAGAGGCCTCCAAGACGCCCAACATGGCCTCCAAGACGGCCCTGAAGCGCCCCAAGAGGGCCCCAAGACGGCCCAGAGAGGCCCCAAAGACGGCTCCAGACGGCGTCAGACGGACCAGGAACGCCCTAAGACGGCCAAAGAGACCCCCAGGAAGCCCCCAAAGGCCCCCAAGAGGCCCAAGGAGGCCCCCAAGATGCCTCCAAGAGGCCTCGAAGAGGCCCCCAAGAAGCCCCCAACAGACCCCAAGGGTGCCCCAAGAGACTCCTAACAACCCTCATCCTCCTACTCTATTTCTTCCTCTTCCTCTTCCTGTTCATAATCATTCTCTCCCATGTGTTCCCCGAAAGCTTTCCAAACCGACTCGGGGAACTCATGGTCCGATAGCTTGGCCAAGCTCTAGTCCAACTTTCGGCCACATCGGCGTTTCCAAAAAGGCAGGGGGGCGGCGGTGATTCGCCGTAGGCGTCTTCGATCCGCCGCCCCCTGTCGATTCATCGCAGGGGTGCCTGGCGTGCTAGATTTCTTAGGTTTTGGTCTTGGTTCTGTTTCCAAACGAACTCCCCAGTGGGCTCCGGCCCGTCCCGCCGGCCACCCGGAAACTGCATCAGTCAATGCCTGAAACGGCCGTTTCGCTCGGGACGTCCTCAAAAATCGCGAAGATGGCCCAAGATGGCCTCCAAGTCCGCCCAAGATGGTCCAAGGCGGCCTCCAAGACGGCCCAAGAGAGTCCAAGACGGCCCAAGATGGCCCAAGAGGCCCCCCAGAGGCCTCCCAGACGGCCCAAGAGGCCTCCGAGAGGTCCTCCAGGAGGGCCCGAAGAGGCCCAAAGCATTGATTTTTCCTTGGTTTTGTAAGGATTTTGGAATTTGCTTCTTCTCGGCATTCCGACGGCTCAAGACGACCCAAGAGGCCCCCAAGATCGCTCAAGAGGCCCCCAAGAGGGCCCCATGACGGCCCAAGTGGCCTCCAAGATGGCCCCAAGAGGGCCCCAAGACGGCCCAAGAGGCCTCCAACACGCCCAAGATGGCCTCCAAGACGCCCAAGATGGCCTCCAAGACGGCCCCGAAGCGCCCCAAGAGGGCCCCCGTTGGCCCCGATAGGCCCCCGAGACGGCTCCCGACGGCGTCAGACGTGCCAGGAACCCACCAAGGTGGCCGAAGTTGGCTCGAAGCTGGCCCAAGACGGCCCAAGAGGCCCCCAAGAGGGCCTCCAGGAAGGCCAGAAGAGGCCAAAAACATTGATGTTCCTACAGTTTTTGACGGATTTTGATATTCCCTTCTTTTCGGCTTTCCGACGGCCCGAGACGGCCCAAGAGCCCCCAAAGATCGCCGAAAGATCGCCCAAGAGGCCTCCAAGACGGCGAAGATGACCATCAAGACGCCCACGTGTTCCCCGAAGGCTTTCCAAACCGATTCGGGGAACACATGGTCCGATGGCTTGGCAGGTCTGGCCTCAACGTTCGGCCACATAGGCGCTTCCACAAAGGCAGGGGGCGGCGGTGATTCGCCGTAGGCGTCTTCGATCCGCCGCCCCCTGTCGATTCATCGCAGGGGTGCCTGGCGTGCCAGACTATTACGGTTTTGGTTGTGGCTCTTTTTCAAAAAGATTTCTCCCAGTGGGTTTCGGCCCGTCCCGCCGGCCACCCGGAAGGCGCTCAATTCCCCAATTTCCTGCCCCTGAAACGGCCGTTTCGCTCGGGGTATCCTCAAATTATCCCGGCAAAGCAACCTAACAGCGATGTGTAGGAGCATATCTGGAAGCATTCCCCTTAAGATTCAGATGAGAATCCAGTTGTAGAATTGTACTGTTCTCGCAGTCGTAGTCGCATTCGCGATGACAGTCGCAGTGGCAACGGCAGTCACAGACACAGCCTCAGCCTCAGCCTGCCTCAGCCTCAGCCTCAGCCTGCCTCAGCCTCAGCCTGCCTCAGCCTCAGCCTCAGCCTGCTTCAGCCTCAGCCTCAGTCTGCCTTCAGCCTCGGCGTCAGCCTCAGGCTGCCTCAGCCTCAGCCTGCATCAGCCTCAGCCTCAGCCTCAGCCTGCCTCAGCATCAGCCTGCCTCAGCCTCAGCCTCAGCCTGCCTCAGCATTCAAAATGTGGCCCGGGAATGGAGTTCTGGGAACTCGAAGAACACGAAGTGGCCTACAGTTGGCTCCGGGCATTCAAAATCATGCCCAGGAATGGAGTTCTGGAGTTCTGGAAACTCGAAGACCACGAAGTGGCCTACAGTTGGCTCCGGGCATCCAAAATGTGGCCCGGGAATGGAGTTCTGGGAACTCGAAGACCACGAAGTGGCCTACAGTTGGCTCCGGGCATCCAAAATGTGGCCCGGGAATGGAGTTCTGGGAACTCGAAGACCACGAAGTGGCCTACAGTTGGCTCCGGGCATTCAAAATGTGGCCCGGGAATGGAGTTCTGGGAGGTCGAAGAGCACCAAGTGTGTGACTGTTGCATCCGGTTATTCAGAATGTGGCCTGGGAATGGGGTTCTGAGAGGTCGACGAGCACGAAGTGTGTGACTGTTGGTGAAAAACGAGCCCGGCACAGGCCCGGCCGGCAACTCCCAACGCCTGCCCGGACCCCCCTGTGGAGTGATCTGTGAGCTCTTTTGAGTCAACTAGAAACCTATCAGTCTACGCTGTTAGGTCAAAATCGCGAAGATGGCCCAAGATGGCCTCCAAGTACGCCCAAGATGGTCCAAGGCGGCCTCCAAGACGGCCCAAGAGAGTCCAAGACGGCCCAAGAGGCCCCCCAGAGGGCTCCCAGACGGCCCAAGAGGCCTCCAAGAGGTCCTCCAGGAGGGCCCGAAGAGGCCCAAAGCATTGATTTTCCTTTGGTTTTTGAAGGATTTTGGAATTTGCTTCTTCTCGGCATTCCGACCGCTCAAGACGGCCCAAGAGGCCCCCAGGATCGCCCAAGAGGCCCCCAAAAAGGCCCCATGACGGCCCAAGTGGCCTCCAAGATGGCCCCAAGAGGCCTCCAAGATGGCCCCAAGAGGGCCCCAAGACGGCCCAAGAGGCCTCCAACACGCCCAAGATGGCCTCCAAGACGCCCAAGATGGCCTCCAAGACGGTCCCGAAGCGCCCCAAGAGGGTCCCCCGTTGGCCCAGAGAGGCCCCCAAGACGGCTCCCGACGGCGTCAGACGTGCCAGGAACCCACGAAGATGGCCGAAGTTGGCTCGAAGCTTGGCCCAAGACGGCCCAAGAGGCCCCCAAGAGGGCCTCCAGGAAGGCCAGAAGAGGCCCAAAACAATGATTTTCCTGTAGTTGTTGACGGATTTTGACATTCCCTTCTTTTCGGCCTTCCGACGGCCCGAGACGGCCCAAGAGCCCCCAAAGATCGCCGAAAGATCGCCCAAGAGGCCTCCAAGACGGCCAAGATGACCTTCAAGATGCCCACGTGTTCCCCGAAGGCTTTCCACACCGATTCGGGGAACACATGGTCCGATGGCTTGGCAGGTCTGGCCTCAACGTTCGGCCACATAGGCGCTTCCAAAAAGGCAGGGGGCGGCGTTGGTTCGCCGTAGGCGTCTTCGATCCGCCGCCCCCTGTTGATTCATCACAGGGGTGCCTGGCGTGCTGAACCCTCTAGGTTTTGGTTTTGGTTCTTCTTCCAAAAGGACTCCCCCTGGAGCTTCGGCCCGTCCCGCCAGCCACCCGAAGGCACTCAATTCCCCAATATCGTCGGCTTTTTCGCTCAAGATGGCCGAAGATGGCTTCCAAGATGCCTCCAAGACGGCCAAGATGGCTCCAAGGCGGCTAAGATGGCCCCAAGATGCCTCCAAGACGGCCCAAGATGCACCCAAGACCGCCTAAGATGGCCTCAAGATAGCCAAAAACGGACCAAGAGGCTCCCAAGAGGCCTCCAAGATGGCCCAAGACACCCCCAAGAGGCCTCCAAGACGGGCCAAAGAGGCCTCCAAGAGGTCCTCCAGGAATATGGATCGGACAACGGCTAGGTGCATCTATGTACGCAGATTGCTAGATACACGGGTGAGAGTAACCATGTATGGATGTAGATTTACATAACTAGAACTGTATATACATATAGATAACCGAGTTGCTGCATGTGAATGTGCAGAATAGAGCGATGGATATACTGCTCCGAGTGTACATACACATGTGGACCGATGGCTGTGTATATACGTGTGCTGGCAGATAAATGAGTGGACCCGCGACTAGACGGATGGGCACATGGAACTTTATGTATAGCTCTTGTTGGGCGGGTGGATGGGAAGATAGTTGAACGGATCGATCCATACGTAAACAAATACATATGTATATATACACAGATGCATGGATGACTGACTGGAAAGATATATATATATATATATATATATATATATGTATTTCGATGTGGCTTACCTGATACAAAGTAAGTGTGTATGCATCGATGGGCAGACTTCTATATACGTATAGATATACAGACACTACATGTGGGCATACAAACGATAGCTGTGTCGATCAATGGATGGATGGATGGAGGGACACGCATACAAATAAATTTATACATAGGCGTGCATATCGATGTGGGTGTGTATCCATGCGGCGATGTAGATAAACATATACATATGCATATGTGCACACACTCGTACAGGTGTATATATATATATATGTGTAGAGTAGCCGATGTATATATATATGTTAATATATGCATCTGAATATTCATCCAAAGGGAGAGAACTGGGGAAACCAAAAGATACCGATACCGCTATGCCCCAGACCTCTCCTGGGGTGCATTTTGACTAAAATTCCGGGGCGAATCCAGCCGTGGCAGACGAGGGCCTTTCAGGAGGCCCCAAACAGCGAAAACGAGGGAATGGTAGCGGTCTCGGTACCTTTCTCTTCTGAGCAGCAGCAGCAGCAGCAGCAGCAGCAGCAGCAGCAGGGAGAATGGGAGCGAGGTGGGGCGAGAAGGGCGACCCCTCCTTTCCCCCTGGCCCTCGCGGAGCGCGGCAGTCGGTTGGCGGAGCGGGCGGGTACCGCTCCGCCGTGGAGGGGTGGGGGGGGGCGCTGCCTGAGTCTGTCCTTCGCGGTCGCCGCGGGGACCCCCTCCGGCCAGACGTTCGGGTGCTCGTCGCGGTAGCGGCCGCTCGAGATGTCCAGCGGCAGGCGGGGCTTCATCCGGATGCGCCGCCGGCCCACGAGGCTGGGAGGCGGCGGCGGCGGCAGGGAGGGCCCCAGCGAGTAGCGCTCGGCCTCGGGGAATGCAGGAGCAACTGACGGACGAGGAGGACGAGGAGGAGAAGGAGGAGGAGGAGGAGGAGGAGGAGGAGGAGCAGGAGGAGGAGGAGGAGGAGGAGAAGGATGGGGGGAGGAGGGGAAGGAGGAGGAGGAGGAGGAGGAGGAGGAGGAGGAGGAGGAGTGCGGAGGTCGGAGGAGAAGGATAAACGGAGGAGGAGGCACAGGAGGAAACAGAGGAGGGGGAGGAGCAGACCTAAGCAGCCCCCGCCGATCTGCCAGGAGCGGATCGGCCGAGAGGCCCCCTCGGTCCGCGGGCGCGTCGGCCAGGCTGGCCGATGTGCGGCGGCAGTGCGGTCGGCCTCGAGGGCCCCATGCGCTCTGCACGGCCAGCTGAGGGGGGGTCGCTCGAGGCCGCGCTGCGCACCGGAGTGCGGCAGCTCGGGCGGAGAGTCGCCGTACGGCCACGAAAGGCCGCCCAGCGAGGGGCGAGCGGGCCCTTCTGGCCCGGGCCTCTGGCATGTACACGGGTCTCCCCGGCCCAGATGTGGAGAGCTGCCCCGAAGCAACGGAGACCATCCGAAGCCCAGTGTGGTTCTTGTGTCGGCGCCCTGACTGCATCTTACATTGAACGGCCAGACAGCTGTGGGCATTTGTCAAGGCGCTGCAGCGTGAGAGGGCCCCCTGACGTGGGCCAGCGTTATCGATCACCACAGCCTTCCCTGGGCGGGTTGGGGAACGGGGGATGGCTGGGGGCGCCGCCAAGATCGCCCTGTGGGCCATGGTGTGCGACATAATCCACACTATCGGCAATACTGGCGAGTGCAACACATCCGCGTCCGTTGTTCACCATCCCCTTCCGCGGCTGCATCAGGCACAAGCTGATATACCGTGGACGTGATGCCGTGGAGAACGGCCCCACGGACCGCGTAACAAGGTGGGGGGCAGACACCCAGACCGAACACGCCGTTGTTCAGGCACTGTGGAAGATCACTCACGAGCTGCCCAACTTGACAGCATGCGTTGTGCTGGGCGCTCGTGCGGTGGGCTCGGGCACACCGAGGCGACGTGCGCACGCGGGGACACCGAGAGGTGCAGCCCGGCGCATCCGTGGAGCCGCGCGGCCAAGAAATGACCCGTTGGCGCGATGAGTTTGTGCGCAAGCGGTGTGGCTCTTCCACGTCTGAGCGCTTCCCCCCCTCCTCCCCTCCTTCCCTCGCGCGGCCCCCCTCGTCTTCTTTCATTCCTCTTGCACGCCCGACGATGCGTTTTCCGGTTGCCCCGATCAGCCTCACGCTGGGGCGGACTGCCTCTGCCTCGCCGCCGGCGAAAAAAAGTGCAGGCGGCGTGGAAGGTGTTGCGGTCTGGTGGGTGTGGACCGCGAAAGGACCCCCGATATGGGTCACCCGGGCGCATGCCAGCCACGACCTTTGAAGAACAGGTGGCTATATATATTGTGCGAAGGATGCACGGCCAGATGAGCTGCAGAGTTCTCTCCCATGCAGCGGTCTGCTGGTCGTGTGCGGGACGGACTGTTGGAACGAAACACCGCCTGACCGGCCAAGACTTTACAGGCACCGACCGTGCAGCGATCGGCACATGCATGACCTACCAGGCGGCTTGGGCGACACCGCAGAAGTATATATCATGTGGGGCCACCGTCCCCACATGTGTCACACCGTGGCCTCCAATCATCTCCTCTTATTCCTCCTCCTCCTCCTCCTCCTCCACCTCCTCCTCCTCCTCCTCCTCCTCCTCCTCCTCCTCCTCATCCTCCCGTCAAGTCAATCTTCTATTCACGCTTGATGGGCCCTTCCCGCCAAGAGGTTGTGGTGGTCACCGTTTCTCTGCTCCCCAGCTCAGCCTCGGGCATGAAGAAAACAGTGCCGCCGAGGCCGAGGGCCCAGCGGGGATCGGGTGCATCCCAGACGTTCTTGATACGCTTCTTCTTGGACCCGAGTCTCTTGTCGTCCGCGACAGAGTCGGACTGCGCGTCGGGATCTGCGAACTCCCGCAGCTGCGCCAGCTCGTCCGCGATGTTCAAGCGTTCTCCATCGCTGCTGTCCCCCGCGTCGCTGCCCTCCTTGCTGCCTTCGCCATCTCCTCTCGCCGATAAGTTGAACCCTGGTTGCTGTTTTCGCTTCGGGGGAAAGTTCGGACCTCGACAAAGTTGTCTCGCTCAGAAGCATCAGTTTCTGCCTCATCTCCACTACATAGCAGACCACCCCGACGCAACCCGAAGAACCCCGAGCTCCGAGTTCGGGGGGTGGGGGTACGGGAATCACGTGTGTTGTTGTTGTTCCATGTTCCCCGACCCCCCCCCGGCCTTCGGGCTGGGTTGGGGTGGCTTGGTGGGTGGTGACATCCGCGGACCGGCTCCACAAAAACCCGAGGCAATCATAGAAGAAGGAAAAAAACACATAAACACAAACTGTTGGCACTCCGTGCGGATCTCGTGGATGCGCGCTGTGCCCCCCTCCCTGGCGCGCTCCGCGCGCCAGGGGCGGCGCCGGAGGCGCCGCCAAGGGGCTCCCAGCGCGGATCCGAGAAATCCGCGCGGAGCGCCAAAAGTTTATGTTCTCCTTCGAGATCAACCAGCCGTGGGGCCCCCGCAGGGCCCAAAGGGACCCCGACGGGCCACGGCCGCTCCCGTGCGCTCTCGGCGGCCCGGCGAGGCGCTCCCCTAAGCAGATGCGTCGACGGGAGCCGAAGGGCGGGATCTGGGCAAGTGCGCTCGCGCACCGGGATTCTGCAGGCGTCTTGTTAAAAGAGGAAGCACTTCCTCCTCCTCCTCCTCCTCCTCCTCCTCCTCCTCCTCCTCCTCCTCCTCCTGCTCCTCCTCCTCCTCCTCTCCTCCTGCTCCTCCTCCTCCTCCTCCTCCTCCTCCTCCTCCTCCTGCTCCTCCTGCTCCTCCTCCTCCTCCTCCTCCTCCTCCTCCTCCTCCTCCTCCTCCTCCTGCTCCTCCTCGTCCTCCTCGTCCTCCTCCTCCTCTTCCTCCTCCTCCTCCTCCTCCTCCTCCTCCTCCTCCTCCTCCTCCTCCTCCCCGTCCTCCCCCTTCCCCCCCCTTCCTCCCCCTTCCTCCCCCTTCCTCCCCCTCCTCCTCCTCCTCCTCCTCCTCCTCCTCCTCCTCCTCCTCCTCCTCCTCCTCCTCCTTCTGCGGCATGACATTATTGTAATGTTGTGGGTCTAGTGAGGATTGGGGACGTGCGAGCGCATGTGCATGACACTATTGTAACGTCGTGGAAGGATTGGGGACGTGCGAGAGCATGTGACCCGCTTGGTGCTATTCCATAGGGGATCCGGGCCTGGACAGAAAGAGAGAATGCCCATCGCGTAGCAGTGCTTACATGGGAAAGTGCGCGGGCCAGATACCGTTGCGCACCAGATGATGAAATTTCATCTGCTGGAAGGACGCTCGGTTGAGACACAAGTTAGCATGCCAGGGATCTGATCTGGCCTGATACAGCCCGACGCGGTGGAGAGAGGAGAGTCCTTCTCACAACAGATGAGGCTTCGAATAGGACAGGAAAGAGTAGCGTAGGATAGGACAGGGTTGGTAGGCTAGAGGGAGGCGGAGCAGAGCAGAACACAGAAGAGCAGAGCAGAGCCGAGTAGTGTGAAGTAGAATGCAAAACAGCAGAGTAGAGAAGAGTATAGCCAGTTGAGTACACTCGGGTCGAGTCGAGAAAAGACTACTTTTATCTAGTAGAGAAGTACAGAGATGAGAAGATACTAGGAGTAGTCAGCTCACGCCAAAGATCCGTCAGGAAAACTGCTCGACCACTTGCAGACCTTCCACCACCGTAGTTGTGCGCCGCAGAATTCTTTTTGGAATCAGCCCTGGCTCAGGCCAGGATCCGATTGAGGTCAGTCCCTGGCCCTACCCAGTATTTGTCTTGGGCGTGCATCGGCGGTATGTAGCATACAATTCGGACCACCCCAGGACATCATCCCGAAATGTTTTTGAAGCCGAATGAAAAACTGTGGCGACGGTTCCTTGGAGAGCACCCGCACGAAACCATACGAGCATTGACAGGTACTTTCGCAGCATGCCGGCAGCACGCGTGCGGGGCACGTTGCTTGTACATCCCCCATCCTTTGCTGCTGTCGGCGCTGTCGCAATCCTCCTCCTCCACCTCGCCAGGCGCGCGGTTTACGACGACATCGATCTGCAACTTCATCGCGCCGTCGTAAGGCTGCAGCTCGAGCGGCTCATCCAAGTCGGAATCCTCCTCCTCCTTTTTCCTGTCGTTCTCGCCGCTGGACAGCGAGGAGGCCGTGGACGGGGGCCGCGTCTCCTCCACGGTGCCGCCCTCTGC